GAAGGGAGGCATAAGGGGTCAGAATTTATTGAGATTCTGTCACGGTCAGGGAATCTAATGTATTATATCTGTTAATCTATTTTGTGACTTATCTAGTCTATCTTTTGAATTATTCGATATTCTGGTCTGTCTTTTGAATTATTCGATATATGATTTTTGATTTTCTGTATGATTCTGTCTGCTCTGTGAATTGAAAGCCTTATGATATCCTATTTGAAATGACTTCAGTTTTCTATATCAGTTGTTTGATTTCTGTTGATCAAGTATCTTTTATGACTGTTCTACGATTTTCGTACGGCTATTTTCTGATGTGAATTTCTAACTATTTTGATTGGTGAGCAATGTCTTGCTGAGTTGTTAGCTCATCCTTATTTTCTGCGTGATTTTTAGGTTCTGGGAAAGGGAAGGAGGTCTTGGACTAGAAGTTCTGTGTCTGATATGAGATTAGGTATTTTGTACTTTTGATTTTTGTTATAGTCATGGCTTTTCTGTTCTGTTCTGTTATTTCTGTCTAAAGCCATGGATTGTATTGTATATGATTATTTTGATGAAAGAAAAGATAGATGAACTGTTATATATTTGGATGTTTATAGTAGCTCTGTGTTTTTCTGTCTATTTAATATTTGGAAGAAAGTTCTGAAGCAAATTTCAAAGCTAGATCCTGAATTTTCAATAGTTCCGTCGCGACCCGATGCGAGCGGGATTCATCCTGGTCGGGTTGGGTCGTGACAAACTTTAGTGGTATCAGAGCAATAGTTTTGAAATTTGGATTGTAAGACAGAGCTATAGGAATTTATCAATAAGTTTATTGGGATAGTTCTGGTTTGTTTGGATTTTTATTATGTTGTTTTGTGCCTAGTTTTCTGTGTGATTATGGATCTGCTAGACCCAGATATGATGATGGGCAGAGTGGTAGTCAGGCATCTTCAGTGAGTAGTACTGCCCCAGTGGTTGGTTCTGATACACTTTCTCAGTTTTGCTACATTGGTTGCTCAGATGATGAGCGAAACTCAGAGTAGAGCCTCTACTGTTTGATCTGAGGATGTGGATAGACATCTACAGATAATTCTGAGTTTGAAACCTCCGAGGTTTGAGGGCACTGTTAAGCCCAAAGCAGCTAAAGAGTGGCTGAGAAGGTTAGAGAAGACTTTTGACGGTATGCAATGTTCGTCGGACAAAAAGGTACCGTTGGCAGTTTTTCTGTTGGATGGCAAGGCTGAGCGCTGGTGGATGGGCCAACATGAGGAAAAATTCCAAGGAAAGCTAAACTCTCTGATTTCTTGGGAAGAGTTTTCTGAGATATTTCGACCGTGGTTTGTACCTCCTTCTACAAGACAACAGATGCAGGAGATTTTTCTGAGGCTAGTTCAGGGGAGCAGGACTGTGATGCAGTACGAGGCAGAGTTTACTGCTTTAGCCCGATATGCTCCGCAGTTGGTAAGTACTTATGCTGAGAAGTGCTATAGATTTTTCAAGGGACTATGAGATAGTCTGAGGCAGCCCCTGGTGCCGCTTCATATTTCTGATTTCTCTGAGCTTGTGGAGAGAGATCGTCTGATTGAGAACGATTTGATGGCTACTCAGCATCGGTGGACTGCGAGTAAGAAGAGGTTCGGGGGTGATGCTTCTAGTAGTGGTTCCTCTAGCAAGAGGAGATTTGTTTCTGGAGACTCTAGGAGGAGTGGAGAGTCGGGATCCACTATAGTTTTTGGTAGTGGCAGTACGACCAGTTCTGGATCTGTTAGTGGGGCACCTGTGTGCCAAAGTTGTGGACAACCATATTTTCGGCAGTGCTACAGGATGACTGGTCAATGCTTCAGATGTGGTCAGCCAGGACATCGGATTGAAGAATGTCCACTGGCTGGATTTGATCGACGATCTGAGTTTCGATCTGATAGCTTTGTTAGACCTGCCAGTTTAGCAGGAAAGACGAGGACTGTTCCTCCACGCACTGTGACTGAAGGATTCTTTGATAGAGGAGGTGGTTCGAGTTTTGTGGCACGGAGATCACCTGCTGGTAGTTAGAGGGAGCCTAATAGTTCAGTAGCTTCAGCTCCAATTCAGCCACGTGTGTACAGTTTGAGTCAGCATGAGGCTCGAGATGCTCTGGATGTGGTGACAGGTACGATTTATATTTCTGAACACCCTTATCGTGTTTTATTTCATTCTAGAGCGAGTCATTCCTTTATTTCTGAGCGTTGCTTCGACGTTTTGCATTTGGATTCTGTGACTTTACCGGTTTCACTTTCTGTTCGACGTTTTGCATTTGAATTCTGTGACTTTACCGGTTTCGCTTTCCGTTATTTTGCCGGCTTTGACATTTTCCATTTGGATTCTGTGACTTTACCGGTTTCGCTTTCCGTTATTTTGCATTTGGATTCTGTGACTTTACCGGTTTCGCTTTCCGTTATTTTGCATTTGGTCTGATAGCTTTGTTAGACCTGCCAGTTTAGCAGGAAAGACGAGGACTGTTCCTCCACGCACTGTGACTGAAGGATTCTTTGATAGAGGAGGTGGTTCAAGTTCTGTGGCACGGAGATCACCTACTGGTAGTTAGAGGGAGCCTAATAGTTTAGTAGCTTCAGCTCCAGTTCAGCCACGTGTGTACAGTTTGAGTCAGCATGAGGCTCGAGATGCTCCGGATGTGGTGACAGGTACGATTTATATTTATGAACACCCTTGTCGTGTTTTGTTTCATTCTGGAGCGAGTCATTCCTTTATTTCTGAGCGTTGCTTCGACATTTTGCATTTAGATTCTGTGACTTTACCGGTTTCGCTTTCTGTTATTTTGCCGGCTAGAAGCAATTTGATCGCCCAGAAGTTTTGTTTTTTTTATATTGATATTTCTGGCAAGAAGTGGAAGTCAAGTTTGATTTTGTTATCGATTTCTTCTTACGACGTGATCTTGGGTATGGATTGACTGAGTTTGTATGAGGCTCAGATTGACTGTTTGAATAAGCAAGTGAGCTTGCTTATGGATGGTGAGAGATATGTATTTCAAGGATTACGAGGTGTTCTATCCTGAATGATTTTTATGTTGAAAGTCAGAATGATGTAGAAGAAGGGTTGCCCGGTATTTTTGACTTATGTAAGGGATATGAACATAAATATGGGTTATATTTCTGATATACCAGTTGTACTGGAGTTTTCTGATGCATTTCTGAGGAGTTGATTGGTTTACCTCCGGATCGAGATGTTGAGTTCTCTATTGATATTTTTCCGGGTACAGCTCCAATATCAAAAGCTCTGTAAAGGATGGCACCGAAAGAACTTTTTGAGTTAAAAGTTTAGCTCCAGGAGGTTATGGATAGATGATTTATTCTTCCTAGTAATTCTCCTTGGGGAGCACCTATACTGTTTGTGAAGAAGAAGGATGGAACACTCCGTATGTGTGTTGATTACAGAGATTTGAATAAAGTCACGATCAAGAACAAGTATCCATTACCACATATTGATAACTTGTTTGATCAACTTTATGGTTCTTATGTATTTTCAAAGATTGATTTGAGATCTAGATATTATTAGGTGAAGGTGAAGGAAGCTGATGTGGTGAAGATAGCTTTCAGTACTTGGTACGGGCATTACGAGTTTTTGGTTATGCATTTTTGGGTAACCAATGTACCTGGTGTTTTCATGGATCTGATGAACAGAGTGTTCAAGGAGTATCTGGATCAGTTTGTGATCGTCTTCATCGACGATATTCTGGTGTATTTTGCTTCTGAGGAAGATCATGCTAGACACTTGAGCATTGTGTTGGAGACTTTGAGGCAGCATCAATTGTATGCTAAGTTTTCCAAGTGTGAATTCTGGCTGAAGAGTATTTCTTTTATGGGGCATGTGATGAGCGGTGAAGGTATTTCTGTTGATCCCTAGAAGATTCAAGCTGTTGCTGATTGGAGAAAGCCTACTACGATATTTGAGGCACATAGTTTCTTAGGCATGGCTGGATATTATAGGAAATTTATAAAGGGATTTTCTCAGATTTCTACGCCTCTGACGAGACTGACTCAGAAGTTAGTAGCTTTTGTTTGGGCACCGAAATGTGAAGCTAGTTTTTAGAGGTTAAATGATTGTTTGACATCTGCTCCTGTGTTAGCACTTCCGTCAGGTACGAAAGAATTTCAGGTGTTCAATGATGCTTCACTAAAAATTTTGGAATGTATTCTGATGCAGCATGGTCGGTTAATAGCCTATGCTTCGAGACAGTTGAAACCACATGAAAAAATTACCCGGCCAATGATTTGGAATTAGCTGCAGTTATTTTTGTTTTGAAGATTTGGCGTCATTACTTGTATGACGTCAGATGTGAGATCTTTACGGATCATAAGAGCTTGAAGTACATATTCACTCAGAAGGATCTGAATTTGAGGCAAAGAAGATGGCTTGAGTTGATCAAGGACTATGACCTGACGATTCAGTATCAGCTTGGTAAGACTAATATGGTAACATACACTTAGAGAAGGAAGTCTTCTAGATTATCAGGTATTTATCTCACTTCTGATGACTATCTGATATGAGATATAGAAAGATTACAGTTGGAGGTGATTCCCTCTACTAGTCCGGATTCTGTTGTTTTGACTTATATGAATATTCAATCTTCTCTGGAAGAAAGGATTCAGGAAGCTCAGAAGTCAGATTCCGACTATTTGAATTTAATTACTCAGATTGAATCTGGTAAGAAATCTGAACTACGAGTTTTTGATTCTGGTGTTATCTTCTGTAAGAATAGACTGTGGATTCCTGTGTTTGGAGATTTAAAGAAAGAGATTCTATACGAATCTCACCATTCAGGCTAAACGATACATCTGGAAAGTGGTATGATGTACGGAGATATGAAGAGTTTGTTCTGGTGGCCTGGAATGAAAAAGGATGTAGCAGATTTTGTTGCGAAATGCGAAGCCTGTCAGTTAGTGAAGGCAGAGCATCAGCGACCAGGAGATCTTTTGCAGTCGTTGCCTATCCCTGAGTGGAAGTGGGAGGAGGTAACAATAGACTTTGACATGGGTTTCTCTCGATCTAAGCAAGGGCATGATGCCATCTGGGTGATTGTGGATCGATTGACGAAGTCTGTACACTTTCTTTTGATCAGGCAGACGGATCCGATGGATAAGTTGGCACAGGTATATGTGAAGGAAATTGTTAGATTATATGGTATGCCTAAAGTTATTGTATCTGATCGAAATGGACGGTTTACTTCCAGACTTTGGAAGGGTATTCAACAAGGCTTGGGTACGAAGTTGTATTTCAGTACGGTTTTTCATCCGCAGACTGATTGATAGTCTGAGAGGACTATTCAGGTACTGGAAGATCTTTTGAGGTTATGTGTTTTGGATTTTGAAGGAAGCTGAGAAGATCATATCTCTTTGATCGAATTTTCTTATAATAATAGTTTCCAGTCCAGTATTGGTATAACACCTTGTGAAGCTTTGTATGGCCGGAAGTGTAGAACGCCTTTGACTATGACTAAGGTGGAAGATAGACAAGTGATGGGTTCAACTTTTGTGGATGAAACTGTTATGAAGATTAATCTAATTAAAGAAAGATTGAAAGCTCCACAAGATAGACAACATAAGTATTACAATCAGAAGCACATATTTATGGAATTTCAGGTTTGTGACTTTGTGTATGTCAAAGTCAGTCTGATGAAAGGTGTGAGCAGATTTGGTAGAATGAGTAAACTCAGTCCAAGATATGTCGGACCTTTTGAGATTATTGAAAGGATTGGAAAGTCTGCTTATAGATTGTTATTATCCGATCGGATGTCTGATGTGCATAATATTTTTCACATATCCTCTTTGAGAAAGTGGATATCTGATTCTGTTAAGAAAGTGTCTACTAATGAGGTTGAGATTCAGAAGAATCTACAGTACAAAGAAGAACTTGAGAAAATTTTGGCCTATGATGTACGCAAGATAAGAAGTAAATAAATTCCAATGGTTAAAATGCAGTGGAAACACAGAACAGCACGAGAAGCGACTTACGAGAAGGAGTCGGACATGAGGCAGTTATATCCGTATTTGTTTTGACTCAGTTTACTTTGGGAATGTCGAGGACGACATTTTTCTTAAGGTGGGTGGTGGGAAAAATTATGTATCACCACGCAGATTTTGATTTCTTCTATTTTATAATCGAATACTGCATTAAGAATAAAGTACAATCTCAAGAGATTGATACAATATTCTATAATGGATTCAATATCAAAATAGGGTTTTGAAAAGATATATTTCTATAATCAAACATAGTTCAAAGAATAACATATCATCTCGAAAGATGAATATAAAATTCTATAGGATATGTTTAAAAATAGAAATAAGTTTTTGAAAAAGTTAATCAATTCTTTTATTTAGATATAACAAAGAGAATATTATATCATCTTGAAAGACGAACATAACATTCTTCAAGATATACAAAATAAGAATAAATTTTATAAAAATTCATCATTTCCAAAATTAAATATAATAAACAGGATATTATATTATCTAAAAAGATAATAATAACATCCTACAAATATATTTAAAATTAGAAATGAAGTTTTAAAGACATCTGCTTTACCAAAGATTTTTCCCTTGTTTTATATAAATAAAACAAGGTTTATTTTAATCTGGGGTTCTCAAATCCCTATAGGAGCAAGCCCCTATAGTTAATTACATCTTAGGAGGGATACTCCTAAGAAAACTCTCGATTAAAGCAGTGATTTCATACCCTTTTGACTACAAAGTAGAAGACAAGGAATAGAAGTAAGGATTTTTCATGGAGAAAACTCAATATTGAACATTTATTAACGAGTCAAAGGAGGAAAAGTAAGAGGAGCCAGATTCTGAGAAACTCAGAGGCGACCTCAGTCTATCCTATGTTGGGCTTTATATTTTAAGAGAGAAATCTTATGTTGGGCTTTACATTTTAAGAGAAAATTTTATGTTCAAGTTGACATTTTATTAGAAATTTGGGATTTATATTCCCGAATGGTGAGGACTTAAGATCTAAAAAAAATCTGTCTCAGAACCTAAATCTAATTTGGGTACTACAAAGTAGTAACCCGAACCTAACTAATGAAGTGCAAATCTGGACTTACCCCGGCCTGGATTGGGGAGCTAGCTAACCACCTAGGCGCTTTAAAATCATGTTTCAAGTCTCTTATGAAAGATAGGTAGGGACGTTGCTTAAGTTTTAATGAATTGGGAGCCGA